AAGTTCTGCATTAAATAGATCTTAATAATACTTTTTACCGTTTCAGTCTCGGACTTGTAGTTAGCGAGCTATTCAAGTTTCCCCCACTCCGTTTTTTGTGTATGCCCCTATAAATAGATAATTGTGTTAAAAAACAATTGACATTCAATTAGTAAATTATCAACCACAATCTAAGGATTTATAGTCGTGAGACAAATAAAATAATCACCTACATAGTACTTGACATTTTATTTACAGATAACTTTTACACACATTTTAAGGTATATAAACAAGGAGACTTTGTTTAATAAATCAATTAAAAAGTTGAACAAGTAGATTAATTACTTACTTAATTAACCATGTTGAAATTTGTGATCGTAGCCTTATTTATTGCATTTGCATCGGCCCAAGCTCCCTACAAAGATTGCGGTAATAAAAATGAGCATGCTATCTATTTAATGTTACCTATTGACATTATCTTTGTTAAATTTTAACATTTTAAATTTATTATATTCTGATTATAAACATACCTAGGTCATGGCGAGATTAAATCACTGACCATAAACAAATGCAAAGAATCACCATGCGTACTTCACATTGACGAGGAAATCAACACGGACATTGAAGCTGTTGCTAGTAAATAATTTTATTTTATTTGTACTTGCATATATTTAATATTTATTTAATTCCCTAAATAGACCAGGATGCCACTAAACTGAAATTGAACATGACCGTTGACTGGGGCCAGGGACCAGTTGACATCACCAAGCTGGTGCCCGGTTTTGATACTGATGGTTGCCACATGGTCAAATGCCCGATCAAAAAGGGTGATACCATATCCATAGTGCACAAGGAAAAGGTACCCAAGGAGTCTCATACTGATGTAAGTTACTTGATAATTTTATTATTTGAAAGTGTGTAAACAAATAGGTTGTCATTTTTAAAAACTGTTCATAAATTATTAAAAATATTTTATTTGTATTTTATAGATGCCGGTGACGTTGAGAATAGAGATGCTTGGTGACCAAGGCGAATTGTTTTGTTTCAGTTTTACCGAGGTGGTTAAGAAATAATGTTTTTCAATTATAAAGCATTTTGTACATTTTTAAAAGCGTATAATGAAACCTAATAAAATTTAAATTAAAATAAAATTTATAATTTTAATTAATTTGTATTATAGAAATTAAAAAATATATTACAAATTAACATTAATCTAATTATTATTAATATTATTATTGTTATCTAATTAGTCTTGTAATTATAATTATATAAAATATTATAATTATTTAAATATCATTAGTCCAACAAAATATAAACATAACAACATTGAAACATTTAGTTAATAATACACTAATCATGAAATATATTTATTAGAGTTTTATTTAAGATAAATACAATATCATAATATCAGTGGATAGAAAACCCTTTGAATGTGAAGTATATAGGTTTAAAGATAAAAAGTTTATTAAGTTGTACTTATGTAGCATACTCATACTTGTTAT